GCAGGCACATTTCTGTATCTGCCAGTTTCAATTTCAAGCTTATGTGAACTAATCGGAAGTTTGTAAAACATTTAAGAACTTCTGGTTTTGATATCATAGAAAAATATTTTTCTTTTATTAGTCTTGTTTTGTATAATCCATATGTTCGAAGTTTGCCTTTTTCATTTCTAACACACTCTGATAAATTATTTTGCCATATATTAGTAAATCTTCTATTTAGTTCATTATAAACTATTGATGGAAGGTTTTCAGCCAAGATGTTGTCACAGGATATTCCTAATTGTCCCAACATAAAATGAATACTACTCAACCAACAGCTCTTTCTATTATTATTCAATATTATATTTTCTTGTAGTGCACTTGCTAGTAAAGTACTATCTGATTTATAAATATGTTGCAAATATTTGATACAATTATACAAGATTTCAATATACAATGGATGTCTGCCCCTAATTCACCCATAACAGCATGGTTAGAAGCTTTCTTGTGAACCCCACAAATATATTTTAGAGCTTTGATATGTAGTTTATCACTAAATAACTTTTTAAAGGAATTTTCTATTTCATAATTTGTCCTTTTAACAACTGCAGATTCTGTGTTTATAGTGCCCCAGATCTCACTTCCATATAAAACAACAGGTTTTACAGTATGATCAAAAAGATGTAGCAAGATATTTGCATTTAGTTTGGTATTACCAAAACATTTTACCAATTTAAAGAAAGCTTTCAAACCACGCTTATATAAATCATACTGACATTGAGCAAATGAACCAGATGCATTGAATAAAACCCCTAGATACTTATATGACAATGTACACTCAATTTCATGAACTTTATATATAAAATGTAAATTTGTGAGTCGTGCATTTTTGTAAAAGATTACAACTTTTGTTTTTTTCAAATTTACAGTAAGACAATATTTATCACAAAAAGTGGCCAGCTTGTTCAAACAATTCTGTAGGCCTTTTGGAGAAGATGATAATAAAACAAGATCATCAGCATAGAGAAGACAACTAAGAGGTTCATTATTCAAATATACTTGATCATCTTCACTGTTAAACATATCTGGTAGTTCATTAATAAGGATTTTAAACAAGTTTGGACTCAAATTATCCCCCTGCCTTACCCCTAATTCAGGGATGAAGCTTTTAGTAAGTTTATTACCAATTCGAATATGTAAATTATTCGAGGTGTACATGCTCTTAATGACATAGTAAAAAGGACCTCTAATATCAATCTGAGATAGTCTATATAATAAGGCCGAGTGAAGTACTGTATCAAACGCTTTTGAAAAGTCAATAAAACAGGTGTACAATTTTGAGTTAGAGGAGTTATATTTTTGAATTAGTGTTTTCAGTACAAACATATGATCAGATGTTCTAGCCTTGGGTTGAAATCCTATTTGGCATTTATTGATAACTTTATGGTCATCTAGATAAGTTTGAAGTCTTGCATTTAAAATACTATTGAACACTTTGGAGAGACAAGACATAATTGCTAATCCTCTGTAATTTGAGGTGTCACATGGATCATCACATTTATATAATGGTTTTAAGTACCCAATTTTCCAATCAGAGGGATAAACTCCTGTAGAAAGAATTATATTAAATAGTTTTAACAAACATCCTACTATTTGGGATAATCCAGCTTTAATCATTTCATTTTTAATCCCATCAAGGCCAGCTGACTTGTTATTTTTAAGTTTAGTTACTGCATCAATTATCTCTTTTTCTGTAATTCTACAATCAAGGAGTGAAAAGGTTTTACTCTTTTGACTTTGATCACAAAGATTTCTAAAGTATAAGTCTTGTGGAGTAAACTTCTGTATATATTGAAAGTAGGTTTGAAAAATGAGATATCCATTTATCATGAGATATTCTTGTTGAAGGGTCTTGTTCGTCATTGTCTTCTTTTAATTCTTTGATTAATTTCCAGTATGAATTAGGATCCTTAGCATGCAATGTCTCTAGATTTTTCATAATACTTGCTTTAAATTCTCTTTGTTTATATTTGCATTGTTTATTATAATGTTTACGATACTTGAAGAAAGAGCCTCTTATAATTGGATCAAAAGGATATTTAGAATACAGTTTACTTTTATTTAATAATTCTAACTTCATTTTGTGTAAATCATAGTCAGACCATTTTTTATTTTTATGAATTTTATCTTTTTTCACACCTACTTTAACCTTAAGGGATGTCTTTAACGATTTGTTGCATGCTGTTTTAATAATATCATTAAATCTCATTAAAGCATGATCACTTCCAGATTTATGCTCGTTACAAGAGCTGTTTGAAGGATGGACAGATCTATAATTAATCATGTTTAACTCTTTACAACTTACTGAACTGTTATGCAACATACACTTAATGTTCACGTCGTGGAAATAGAAATTTACCATTTCCCCGCAAGCACCTTATAGCGTGGTACACGTTTCTCTAAAATTTAGCGTAAATAATATCATGACGTAGAATTTTAACACAAATATAACTTTTCTTATTTTATGAGATTTTTGCAAGTATAAAATAGAATGAAATTGGCATTAAATTAAAAATTAAATGAACTTTTTAAAGTGCGTGAAAATGCGTGATTGCGGGGAAATGGTATATGCGTGATTTTGCGTTAGAAATAGGAAATGTTATATGCGTTAAAATGCGTGACTGCGGGGAAGGGGGTTAAATCATCTTCCAAATATTCTTTTATCATTGTTTGCACTTCATTATTATTCAGCGCAGCTTAAAAATGTATAATAGATTCTTTATTCCATATATAAGAGGATGGAATTAATATGTTCGAGTTCGATACATGATTTTCTTTGCTAAACTCCTGAAAATTGGCTTTAATCTGGCATGTTAATTTTGCATGGTCTGAGAGAATTGGTACATGATCATGAATCATAAAATACAAAATGTTGTTTGACAGTGAATTTGATATTATACAATAGTCAACGATACTATTACCATTGTATTGAAAACACGTAAACTTTCCACTTAAATCTCCAACACTTCTCCCATTCAAAAATGCAAATCATGGGATATACAAAAATCAATAAGATCTCTTCCCCTCTTATTAACAAAAGAATCATGACTAGATCTAACAGGCAAATGATAATCAACATGGTCAAATGAAGTTGGAACATAAGAATCAAAATCTGTGTTTTCTATTTCAGTCCCGGTCCTTGCATTAAAATCGCCACATATTATAATATTCCCAATTTGGCTATATTCTGTGACATTATGTTCTAATATTTGTAAGACATCCAAATTGTTTCTTATGACATATGATGAATTAGAAGGGGCAAAGTATGTGAAACAAATGTAAAGATCCTTTTCAAAGCCAAAGAATTCCTTAGCTAATCTGATCCACTGTATTTCACTACTGGTATTTTTGATAATTTTGATTCCTGGTTTAATAGAGTTTTTCAACAAAATTATGATCCCCCCTGATACAGGATATTTTTCTTCTTTAGGGCGGGGAACTGAAATAGAGCTAAAATCTTGACCGAAGTCAAAGTGGTCATCTTTACTATGTTTTGTTTCTAATATACCAAATATATCATATCTACTAATCTCTGCAAGGAAATATTTGTCTCTCGATTTATTGTGAACTGAAGATTTCAGTTTATTTATATTCCAACTTCCAATCTTTAAAAGTTTTCGCATTATTCTAGACAATCAAGTTCTTCTCGGAGATTCTCAGAGAAAAGGAAAACACCTTGTTTGGACAAGTGCTTTTGGTCACGCAAGATACCTCTGAGTGGCATGCCTCTGTAGAATAAATTGCTGTTGTCACAAAGAACGACGGAATTGTCACGCTTGTAGTGATTCTGAAGATCTATGTTCAGAGTATTTATTCGCAGGTTGAATTCACGGTCTCCTCTGGGTAAGCCAAGGGATATCATAAGTCGACAGGACGGAAATTTTACTTTGGTTACGTCGATTAAGTGTTGACATTTTTTCAATAGCTGAGGATTTGAGGATTTTTCAACATCGTTGCATAGTAGATGATACACAATGATTTCTGGTTTCATCTCTCCGTCATAGTTCTGTATATACTCTGTTGCATCATCAATGGTGTATCTAGTCTCTTTATGGACAGAGTATCTCTTCCCTGCTACATACCTGCAGCTAACATATTTAATGTTTGATGTTCCGACGAACAGAACTTGTTTTCTTCTGTGTCGAGTTGCTCGTTCCTATCGGCTTCTCACAGCTTGCTTTGGTTTGTTGTCAGCTTGTCGTGGTTCAGCATCTGGTAGATTTTGTCTGTTTGATATGTTTACAGCTCGTCCTTGGTGCAGTTCAGCATTATGATCTGGTCGATTTTGTTTGTTTACAGCTCGTCTCTGATCTACTGGGATTTCCTCTATACTCTCTTTAGAACCATATCTGTTCGACATCGCAAATAATGGTACCCATTGGATAAAAATTTGTAAATTTCACTCCTCCATGGCACCTGATCCCACCTCCAATGCTTTGGAAGTCCATGTTTGCTTTGCCTCTATCTTGTATTGATGAACGAACTTTTGATCTTAAATACTGTTTGCTATCTCCACATGTTTCATTAGATCTTCATTTTCAGACTGAATTTTCATCAGAAGTGTCCCTTTACCCGATCATGTCAATTGACACTCGACGGGTGTGAGTGGTCGGTAGGAAAAGTTTAAATCTCTGTGGCAGCTGCAGTCAGTTCTGATTTAAAGATCGAAGTTTGCCTTGCTAATAATTTGTATAATGTAAATGGACTTACAGGCAGAATCAGTGTTTGTTATCTTCAAGTTTCGTCCAAGCTATTCAAAGCCTGAAACAAAAATGAGCATTATGAAAATACGTAATACAGCATTGACAAAGCCACCAATTTGTGATCCATTTCACGGAAAGATAGAATTCTACTGCAACACATGTACAAGAGACCTTTGTGTTCCTTGTAAGGAGAAACATGTAATAGATTTGGACACTATGTATCATGATGTAGTAATACGTCAATTAAAGAATGGAATTATGGTATCAGAGGCGTGTAAAAGACACAAAGACAGAAAATATGACCGTTGGTGTCTGTCTTGTGAAAATCCACTTTGTGTCAAGTGTAACGAACACCAAGAACATGAAACACACGATATAGATCCATGTTGCGTGGTGTGCAGAGAAGAGAGCAATATCAGTATTATTCACCTCCGAGGTGAGATACTTCCTTATAGTATGGCTATCTTTGCGGATATAAAATCTGACCAGAAAACAGAAAAACATCGAGCGGAATCATTCGAAATCATGGAAAAAATGAAAAGAAAAGCTCAGAGACTAAAGAATTTTATCGATAAAAAAATGCGAAAGGAATGTACCAAATTAAATTCTCAAATAATCTCATTAATTTATCAGCAGCGAAAGCGACATTTAAAAAAAATTATGAAATATGAACATAGATTTGAACAGTTATCAAACAGACCAGTAGGATTCCTTTCATGGGTTAAGAGGTTTCAAGTTCCTAAACTGAATGGAATTCATGAGGATTTGAGTTGTTTAATAGGAAATATCCAACAGAAAGAGATAGGGAAAAGGCAAGTAAGAAATGACTTTCTCCTGGAAATTATGCTCGAAATTGATATGTTTCACGAATCTATAATTGTGACAGACATGTTAGAGATCGATGAAGATGACAATTGGATTCGTCATATTTCCCTTGGATTACCAAACACAATCTGGATAAGTGATAAAAATAGCTTAATCTTGATAGATACAACTGGTGACACTCTGGATCAGCTGGCAGTTACAGATATTGGAACGGGTGTACATACAGTGACCAACGAAAAAGAACTTATTTACATTAATGAAAATGAGAACATCTGCAAATTATCAAAAGACAACACAACCGAATCAACAATTATATTAAAATCAGATCCATGGAGGCCTCTCTGTGTCTACAGCTCCACTTTAAATGGAGATCTATTGGTTGGATCTGGTAAATATGAGAAAGACAATCAAACAGAATCCAAAATAAACCAGCATTTTCCTACGGAGGCCAGAGTAAACCGATACGATAGCAAAATGTTAAAGATCCAAACTATCCAATACAAAAGGCGTAAAAAGAAAATGTATAAGTGTCCTGCATATATAACAGAAAACAGTAACGGAGATGTTATTGTGTCCGATAAAAGATCTTCGCATAGTGATGATAATGGTGTTGTCGTCGTAACGGACCGTCAGGGAATCTTTCGGTTCTCCTACAACGGACCTCCATTCGAGAGCCAATCATTTTTTCCTTGTGGGATTTGCACAGACGGACTATCAAACATTGTGGTGTGTGATCACAACTCAGGCACCGTTCAATTGATTAACAAAGATGGACATTTTCTTATGTATCTCTTGACTTCCCCAGACATCATGCCACCATGGAGTCTTGCCTATGATGAAATTAACCACCGTTTATTGGTTGAATCAAGTATATGTGAAATATTCTTATACAGATACATTAACAGGAAGGATTACTATTAAAATTGATTAAAGAACAGGATCTGACATAATAATATAGAGAATATTTATTATTTAGAATACGATTTGAGAAAATAGTGGATACAATTACAATTGGATATGTATTTTGTCAGATTTTAAGCAATATAATGAATGTTTTATTTCATTATATTCTGTATTCTTTTTTTCAGATATTTATAGATATTCCTAATGTATTTTCTTCAAAATGTTATATAATACTTCAGACATAATCTGTAGAATAATCATTACAATTGGATTTGTATTTTGTCAAATATAAGCAATACAATGTATCTATTTGTCCCTTTATATTCTGTATTCTTTTTTAGAGACATTATAGATATTCATATTAAATTTTCCCTATACGTTGTAAAATAATAAACCAGACATACTCTATAAAATTTTAATAATTATTAAATACTGTAGACGTACTTTTTCCACGGGGTCATAATTCAGCGGAATCTCTATTTCTGTTCAATCCGCTGATTGAAAATTACGCGGATACCTTAAGACTATTTATGCATGCCTTATGTTAAGTTCAATGGGACAAATTTCCGCGGAAAATTTGTGACCCTGCACATAGCGTTAATTAATACCACGCGGAAAAATGTACTTCTACAGTAAATATAAAAGTTCATTTTTACATTCTAATTGAATACTGATCAAAACATTTGCAGTGTGTTACTTGTACTGGCAATCACATCTAATATCGTATTAAACAATTTATATGTTATATTGATTTTAGAATTATAATTTATTTTTATATTCCTTTGTTATTAATGTATGACCGAAGCAAAGTCAACTGAGCTAGTTTTTTGATGGATCAAAAGAAAATAACAACACAAATGAAAGTGAAAAAATGTCATTTTTTGAAGTAAATGACACAAAAACAAATATTAAACATATTATGGGGGTCAGACAAGACGATCAAAAACTTCGAAAGAACACAAAAATCTTTGACATCACATTATGCAATCTGACCCCCTAACATTTAATATAGCATAAAGCAGGCACTGATATGCCTGCAATCAAAAAAGGGTGGAAATTTCATATACACGATTATTTGATCGACACCTGTGATTCCGAATTTCTAGTAAGCGAAAACAAAATAAAGAGATCGTAGCAGATATGAAATCTGTCAAGAAAAAAGAAATTTAACTTCAAAAGAAAACGTCGCCCGCGTGGTGCAGTGGTTAGAGCGTCTGCTCCTAGAGTCGCGAAGTAAGGAGTCAATCAGCAGTAGGTGCTGGCACGAAAAAGATCCCTCACTGCTCAAAGGCCCTGAATACCGAGTATAGGACAAAATTTGTAGCTCTCCACCGGCAAGTGGTGGCGGCACCATATGAATGAAAAATTCTCGAGAGGGACGTTAAACAACATACAATCAAGCATGCAATCAGTCAATCAAACAAAAGGAACATCCAAATCATGTTAAAAATGACAAAACAGGCTCATAAAGTAAAAAATAATATTGATAAAAATGCGGATGGAATCTACTAAATTAAATTGTCAACTAATCTCATCAAAATTTCAAATTTTACAAGAACATATTAAAAAAATGATGAAATATGAACATGAATTTGAAGTTATCAAACAGACCAGTCGGATTCCTTTTATGGCTTAAGAAGTTTTATAGTCCTAAAATAAATGAATTTAAGAAAGAGATGATTTGCTTAATAGGAAAATACAACAAAGATAAGGAAAATTAAAATAGGAAATGAGTCTCTCCTGAAAATGTTCAAATATGAGATCCAAAAATTTATAATCTGACAGATATCACAACAGTACGACCAAAGGATAAGTACACTTAAGGAATACTTTATGGACCCTATTTCTGGGCCAAATTTTTTTTAAAGAATATAATACCGAATCGTTTTCTTTTGGTAATAGTTAAATAGTATTGAATATTTCTAATCAAAAAATCATTTTAAGCATTATCTAAATCAGCAAACGTATAAAACAATGGACTATTTTAGATGCCTATATATATATACCCAGATCTCGAAAAGTCGTACCGAATCCACTTTGAGTTTCGTTTATTTAAATCGAGGGTGGAAACATTTGAACAATCCGATGACGGTTCATCGATGGGTGTATTTACCGATTAATACTTTTTTCTGTTTTGCATTTTAAAAAATCGAATGAGGTTGTGTAGATGCCCGAAGCGATATAAAGGAACTCAACTTCATTGCACGCTTGTATTAAAAAAATAAGTATTTATATTAGTTTCTTTGAATTTTGGAAATAAAAAAAGAGTATTAAGGTAGATTTTATTAGGGTCTCATTGTCTTGCATGAACGATAACAATGTTGACACTTTTATAAACGACACTGAGCTCTCTTTACCCCCTAGTGTTGAATACTGTCTGTTATCTCCATATCCTTCCTTCCCCGAGTGTTTCTAAAACCAAATACATACAATCATCTCTAAGCAGCACGAATTTAATAATAGAAAGACTGGCTATGCAGTGAGCACCCTTGGGGAATGTTTACTTGGGTAGAACTCAGGTGACTATCAGTATTTTAAAAAAAAATTCTACTTTTAACTTTTTATACATTTTTAATATTTTATAAATATATAAAGCATCTTTTATCATTCGCACAAGTTTGCACAACGTTAGGCTCATGTTAGAAGGGCTTCTCGATTAACTATAGGATATCACGAATGTCGGCTGATCCCTACCACATTGTATGGCTTTGCTCTTTGTATATTCATGATTTTCAGTGGTAAAAATTATTGAATCGTATGGTATATATATCAATTGATAACTTGAAATGAAAAAAATTGATTTATTTGATTCTTTATTTTTTCATGTTTTACATGGGGCCCATAAGTGCACTCGTTCTTTCCCTTAAATTACCGAGCAAAATCTGGGTTAGTGATAAAAATAGCTTAATCTCGACAAATATAACTGATAATAGACTGCACTAGCTGGCAGCTACAAATATTGGTACTGGTGTACATAGAGTGACAACAGAAAAGGAACTCATCTAAATAAATATTGGTTCTGGTGTACATACAGGGACCAGAGGAAAGAAACTCATTTACATAAATATTGGTACTGGTGTACATACAGGGACCAGAGAAAAGGAACTCATTTACATAAACATTGGTACTGGTGTACATAGAGTGACCAGAGAAAAGAAACTCATTTACATAAACATTGGTTCTGGTGTACATACAGGGACCAGAGAAAAGGAACTCATTTACATAAACATTGGTTCTGGTGTACATAGAGTGACCAGAGAAAAGGAATTCATTTACATGAATATTGGTACTGGTGTACATAGAGTGACCAGAGAAAAGGAACTCATTTACATAAATATTGGTACTGGTGTACATAGAGTGACCAGAGAAAAGGAACTCATTTACATAAATATTTGTTCTGGTGTACATACAGGGACCAGAGAAAAGAAACTCATTTACATAAATATTGGTACTGGTGTACGTAGAGTGACCAGAGAAAAGAAACTCATTTACATAAATATTGGTTCTGGTGTACATACAGTGACCAGAGAAAAGAAACTCATTTACATAAATATTGGTACTGGTGTACATACAGTAACCAGAGAAGGGAACTCATTTACATAAATACTGGCACGGGTGTTCATACAGGGACCAGAGAAAAGAATTCATTTACATAAATATTGGTACTGGTGTACATAGAGAGACCAGAGAAAAGAAATTCATTTATTTAAATCGAAATGTTAACATTTACAAACTATCACAAGACACCACAACAGAGTCAACATTTATAAAGAAATCAGACCCTTGGAGACCACAATGTGTCTACAGCTCAATGGAGATATAACTAAACACTTTCCTTCGGAAGCCAACGCTTTCCTTCGGAAATAAATAAACTGATACACCAGCAAAGGAGAAAAACCAAAAATGTCCAATACAGACGGTGTAAAAAGAAAATTTATAATAGCCCTGTATATAACAGAGAATAGAAATGGAACTATATTTGTGTCATATACAAGACCCTTACATTGTGAAGATAATGGTGCCGTTGTTGTTCCAGACCGTCGGGAAGTCTTTCGGTTCTAGAGACTCCCATTTTTTCCATGCAGGATTTGTACAGACGCACTATCAAACATCCTGATGTGTGATTGCAACTCTGTCGACGTACACATTAATGACAAAGACGGGAATTGTCTTATATGGCTGGGTGCAGACATGATGTCATGGAGCTCGAGTATAGTATAGGATGACAAAAATCATCCTTTATGAGATGGAACATACGTATGTTAATTATGTATATAAAGATACATTAATAGGAAAAATTGTTTTTAAAATTGAATGACGAAAAAAATTGAATAATAATTATAACCTTTATTTATTCATGATAACACTTTTAGCTTAAAGCTAGATTTTTTTACTTTGTTGTTCATCATTTTAACACATTTACATTCACATATGGGCATATAAAATTAGCATCTTAATATAAACACTAGATAAAAAAAAAGAACAAACATATGCAGATATATATAGGCATGAAGAATCATATTTTTAACACTAAATAGATTGGCACACTCAAGGATCGGGGGAAAATCCGGTTTAAGCATTGAATCTGTTAAAATACTCGGTAGATACACAGAATTAAAAATATCCACTAAACTAAAGGTTGTAATATTTTTGGCAGCTTGTTCCATACAAATGCATTATAAATATGTAAATAATGAATATCCCAGTAATATAATAGATAGGATTTTAATATCACGTATGTTTATTTACTTTCAGCTAATGATTCAAAGGGAAACATCCGAAATCATGTTGCAGATGACAAGAAAATGTCAGAGACTGAAGGATTTTATCAATAAAGAAATTCAAAAGGAATTTACTGAAATAATGTTTCAATTAATCTCAACGAAATTCCAACATCGAAAAAAGCATATCGAAAACATGATGAGATATGAAGATCAATTTGAACAGTCAGCAAACAGGCCAGTAGTATTCCTTTTATGGCTAAAGAAGTTTCCAATTCCTAAAATGAATGAAATTAAGGAAGAGGTGATTTGTTTAATGGGAAAAATAAAACAGAAAAGGATAGGGAGAAGGCAAGTAAATGTAGTACAATTTGTATCCTGTGCCGAGCCCCTATATGTATTCCCGTGTTGTACCCCTTTTGTGTATGTGTGCGTATGACGTCACGCTTTCGTGTGTAGCCAGTAGAAGAAGACGCCATTCCGTGTAAGAAACCACTGGTAACTTTTGTGAACTATTTCGACCTGCTGTGTGCGGCCAGGGGCTGCTGTGTGCGCCTCACATATATAATAACTTGCTGCTGTGTGCGCTCGTTATCTCTGTATATTTGTGTATTGGTTAACTGCATTGTTTATGTAATAAATGTCATTACAACATTGGCGACGAGGATAAACGGCGCGAAACATCCGGCCATGTGCTTCTGAAAAATATCAAACTCAATTTTACTTTAGATAACGATTCAGAACCCATATATTTTAATTTGTACTAGTTTATTGGATAGGTTTATTCACACATAGAGTTATTTTTGGAAGATAAGGGTTAATTTACAAAATTTATTGTTCGTTCGAATTTCCTCAGAATGTAAGAGTAGCCAAGTTCTGCATAGGCTTGCAGTTATACTTGTTATTTTAAGTAGGTAATCGCATTCTTGTCATCCAAATACACCAGGGTTAATAGCTCTTCCATTTTTAAGTCCTGTTTCCATATAAATAACAAAATTGTACTTATTTGTAGAAAAAAAAGTATACATTAAGAAAAAAACAGTTTAAAACCCCCCTCTCCATTCCTTAGAGTGGAGGCGCACTGCAGTACAATTACCCATTTCTTTTTAGAAAGGAATAAAATAAAGGTTCATTCAATTGCTTTGCATATAACTAACTAACACCTGTGTTAATTTTTGATTTCATCAAACAGCAAATACTGTTTACCTTACCAATTGCTCCCTAGCAATTTGTGTATGGTTATTTGCCATAATTAAATTGCTAAATCTTTCTACTTTCTTTCTTTCTATCTATTGTTTAACATCAAAATAAAAGTTTGTACTGCTGTTTTTTTCAATAAATATCACAAACATTGAACATGCGTGTAAATATTCAAACCGCCACTGAGGAAGAGCTCCAAACTTTAGAGAACATTGGAGAAAAGAGAGCTCAAGCTATCATCCAATTACGAGATATGCTGAATTTTCCTATTTCCATTCAACTGCTGGCTTATGCCTCAACAATCAAGGAAGGAGTATGGCAGCAGTGGATAAATGAAGGCCGCATTGAATTAGACGACAACAACGGACGACCAAGTAAAGCTGCAGGTAATGAAGATCTTAGTCATGAACTAAGACATACCAACCAGAAATTAGAGGTCTGTTATTTTGAAAAGGAGGATCTGCACCACAGGTTAAATATGCAGCAGGGCAGAATGCAAATGCAGGCAGAGGAGCTTCATAGTAAAGACTTGGCTCTAAAGGAAAAAGAGACTCAAATTTTTGAACTTCGAAAAGAGCTAGATAGACAAAGACCCGTAAACATACCAAACTTGCCACTGGGTTATCCACAGACACCTTTGGACAGGGCAGGAATTAAGCATGAACCCATGACACCGCATCTGACCCCTTTGAGGGCAGAACCTGGACAACGCACCTTGGAAGGAGGACACATGATGACTGGTATTAGGTCTCATTCACCATTTGAGTTGGGATCAATGCAGTCATTTACTGCATTTCCTTCCTCTGGAGGACCATCCTTTCAATCTTCTACCCCGTGTAGTGTGGGTGGCGCAAATATACAACTGGATTTTGACCATCAGCGATCTACTCTTGGAGATAGATTTTCCAGTGCCGACCTGAGACAACCAAAAAAGAGACATACACAGGCTACTAGATATAGAGGAGAAAGTAGCTCTGGCTCATCAGACTCGGAAGATTCCTGTGAGTCCGATGACTCACTTAACTTATCCAGAAGGAAAACTCGGCATGGTAAATCCCGGAGGAGCCCATCAAGACCTAAGATGCCTACCTTTCGTGGCGACAAGAACTGGGACTCGTTTATCTTCCAGTTCCAAAGACAAGTGAAACAATATAATTGGAGTGAGCAAAAAGCAAAGGGAAGGCTACTTGACTGTCTGCAGGATGAGGCGTTAGATTTTGCACGTGAACTTACACATTGTAGCTATCAGGATCTCTTAAAGAAGATGTCAAGGCGATTCAGTACAAAGGAGGCACTCATATCTGCGAGACGACAGTTACAATTTGTACGACAGAAGGAAGATGAAACTTTTGAGGAGTTTTCTCAAAAAGTCCATTTTCTAACCATGGATGGACTTCCAGAAGCAAACGACAGCACTGTTGATCAAATGGCGGTTGAAGCTTTCCTAAGGGGATGCAAGGATAAGGAGGCTGCTCACCTTGCTATGGAAAAGAACCCAAAGAGTATTTACAAGGCCTTGAAGTATGTCAAAGCAGCTGTAAATAATCGCAAGGCACTGTTCGGTTCACGAGCTAATTACAGTACTCGTCGTGTAAGTTTCCAAGACGACTGTGTTGAGCCAGCTACAGACGAGGCATGTATTCGCACTCTTCATGACTCAAAACGAGACTCCTCAGAAAAACTTGAAGGCCTGATCTCCAAGCTAATAGGACTTATGGAACGGAAGGACCAGCCAAGGTCAAGGTCACCGACACCCCCATCAAGTCCACAACGCCGTCGCTGTTACCTCTGTAAGGGTTATGGTCATTTGCAAAGGGATTGCCCTCAGGCTAGAGACAAGGGGAGGAGCCCTAGCCCAGATAAAAAGGATTTAAACTTCAGAGGACTGGGCGGATCGGCCAACACTCAGTTCAGCCAATAGATGATGGCCAGACATTACCGATGAATGAGAGTCTGGATGAAAATTATGAAACATGTCATGAAGAGATGGAGGAAACACCAGATGTATCACTCTTGTCATTGGATGAGCTCGGTCATGAACTGAATTCATCTACTGACAGGGATGTTAAGGAAATATTAGCAAAACAAGTAAATGTAGCTAGCCTAGTGATCCCTATCCATATACATTCAAAGAAAGTCTCTGCTGTAATAGATACTGCTGCTCAAGTGTCTGTAATGAATCTTCAACTCGCGAGAGAATTGGGACTGATGATTGACGACAAGCAGTTCATATACCTAAGGGGTGTGGTACCTGATGAAAGGATACCTGGGTATATAATTAAAAGTGTACCAATTTGCATAGGTAGTGTGGCGAATCACAATCACACGGAAATCTTCTTTTTATAATTTATTATGACGATTAAAGGCAATAACAAATCCACAAGGGTTAACAATCAAAATACCACATTGGCTAAGATAATCAGATGGTTTCTGATATGTATTCAATATTTCTTCAATGTAAACTCAATACAAAATCGATAAACTCAATAGTTATCAAGATCACAAAAACTCTCATATATATAGTATCGAAGAAACATCTAGAAATAGAAACTTCGATAAAATTCTAGATCATCACATTCTTAAATATTCTAGAGACTTCTTGATAATTAATTCACGAAACATTTAGAACATTCTAGATTATACCTGTACATCATTCAATTTCTAGAAAATGCATTAAAATTGCGACAATTTGCAACACTCCCAAGACCAAGGAAAGTTAATTTAATTGTTCCTTTATCAGTTTTGTCGCTCTTTCAGCGGCCTGTCTTTTTGCTCTAGGTAATGGAGGAATACCATCGACTGCTGGCTCTTCCTTCGTCATATCACTATCACCAAGGTCAGATTTATCGGTGCATTCTATGGGATAAAGTAAATTTAACGGTCGGTTTAATGTTCTTTTGTTAGGTAACATTACCTTTCCGGACCTGTATTGTCCATCTTTACTCATTGTCAAATCGCAAATTCTTCCAATCTTCCAGCTTCCTCTAGGGAGATCTTCTTTGATGAGGACAACATCACCAATTTGTACCGGCCTGTTGTCTTGAATACGTTTTCCTTTTAATTTATAGGATGTTCTTTCTCTTAGACTTAAAAGATACTCATCTCTCCATGTCCTCCAGAATGTATCTAAAAGTCGTTGACCTTTTTTCCAAATTGCCAGTAAAGTGTTTACAGAGCTTGCAACAGGTACATAGTCTGGGTCCATGGGATCAAAATTTTCACTATCTTGAAGTCCTATTTTTGGATTCAAAGTGAGGAAATGCGCTGGAGTAAGGGTGATGTTTGAATTAATATCGTCTCCAATATAGACTAAGGGTCTCGAATTCACGACTGCTTCAGCTTCTGCAAGCATCGTTCTCATTTGCTCATTTGTTAAACAGAGTTTTCCTATAGTTTTTCTTAAGCATCGTTTGACAACACCAACCAGACGTTCATAAAATCCTCCCATCCATGGTGCCAGTTCCACAATAAATTGCCACTGAATCTCTTCATTTGCAATATAACTTTGGACATCATTATCAGACGTAACCTTTTCCCAACTTTTATCCAAAACCAGGCTTGCAAGTTTAAATTGAGCACCATTATCAGAGATAATTTGTTTTGGCTTGCCCCAACGCGCAATAAATCTCCTTAGTCCTAGGAGAAACTGTTCTGTGGACATGTCCTGCATGAGTTCAAGATGTATGGCCCTTACTACCAAGCAGGTAAATAGACAGACCCATACCTTTTTATTGCCAGTTTCTGTTTTGATGAAGATTGGTCCAAAGTAATCCACTCCCGTGTACGTAAATGGTGCTGATTCACTCACACGTTTCTTTGGTAGTGGAGGCATCAGTGGCATCTTGTATGGACCACCCTCAAACCGCTTACAGATTGTGCATTTATGAAGTATTCTTTTTACTTCTGCTCTTCCCTGCGGAATCCAGTAGTCTTGACGAACCAATGACAGTGTTTGGGAGACTCCAACATGAAATGATTTTTTGTGGATGTAATCAATAATCAGTCCCGTCACATGGTTCTTTCTTGGAAGGAGGATAGGAGATCTTGCACCTTCTGTCAGCTGAGCATGCTTGAGTCTTCCAATGCATCTGATAATCCCTTCCTGATCCAATACAAGTCCTAATTGACTAATTAAATTATTTCTCTTATTTTCCTTGAGTGAGGTTTTGACATCACCATAGTTTTGAGTCTGGATATTCTTGATTATAAGAATTTTAGCATTCTGTAGTTCTGAGTAAGTTAGATGGTTCCATGGCATTGGAATTTTCTTCACTCTTTTGATAAACCTAAGAGTCCATGCTAAAACTCGAGTAAGGTTTATAAATGATGAAAAATTTTGGTAGTCAATGATGTTTGGATATCCAGTTGATTCAGAATCTGAGTTGTTATTTCTTCCGTTAGGACTCTCCCCAGCCACCAGTTTTGCTTCATAAACTATCTTTGGAGTCTTGCATTCTGATTCTATGACACTCTGCATTTCTTTACAGGTTTGTTGACTGTTCCATGAAGGCCAATTGTCTTTCCTTTTAATTAACCATTCTGGACCATTCCACCATTGTTCAAATTCTTGAAGAGTTTTAACTGCTGTTCCTCTGCTTGCAATATCAGCTGGATTATCTTTTGTAGACACATATTGAAAAGTGATATCTTTGTTGTTTCTGATTTCTTTTACTCTGTTTTCCACAAAAGTTTTAAGAGGTTTCTTCATTCTTATCCAATGTAATACACATTGGGAATCGGTCCAAAGGATCTTTTCTGTGACAGGTAACTTCAGTTGTTGTTCAACAAAGTTAATGCAGCGGACTCCAATGACAACAGCCAGTAGTTCCAATCTAGGCAGTGTTATTTTCTTGAGTGGCACTAACCGAGTTTTTGAAAACAACAGGTTGACAGTACTTCTTTCTTTTTTGCTCTGGTGTAAATAGATCGCACAGGCGTACGCTTTAGTTGATGCATCACAAAAGCACATTAATTTGTATGTCACTGTACCAGTGAGTCCTATAAAACGAGGAATAGGGCAATTGGGAATATCATCCAGGTCTGCGGATATATTTTCCCAGCGCTGAATGTCTTCTTTGGTCAGTTCTTCATCCCACTCTTTCTTTTGGTTCCATGATGTTTGTAGAAACAACTTTGTTCTCAAAGTAACTGGGGTGAAGAATCCAAGTGGATCAAAAACAGAAGCAATTCTTTGAAGGACTTTCCTCTTGGTGATAGGTGGAATATGAGTTTCATCTTTTGGACTGTTTATGAATAGGGAGTCCTCAGAAAGTTTCCAAGACAAACCAAGAATTTTTATGGTTTCTCTGTTTGCTTGATCAGCTTGAGGAATACACTGGCTAAATTCTGTGGAGTTAGATGCCCAGTCTCGTAAATTCATTGACATGGTACTGAAGATCTCTTTGGCGTCTGTATATAGTTTCCTAGCCTCTGAGACGGACTCTACACCAGTGATAACATTATCCACGTAAATATTGCTTCTTATGTTTTCAGCTGTTGCAGTGTTGTAGTTTCCAAGATGGTAATCTAAAGTTGCAGCTAATAGAAAAGGGCTTGATATAACTCCAAATGGAACTCTCGTAAATCTATATACTTGAATATTGTTCTCTGTGGATGGAGTTTCAATATCCTTTAACCAAAAAATCTTGTCACATCTCTGTCCTTTCCTTGTAATTCAATCTGTAGAAATGCCTTTTCTATGTCAGCAATAATTGCAATCCTTTTCATTCTAAATCTCATCAACAGTCCACACAAATCATTTAGCATTACTGGTCCTCTGTAAAGACACTCGTTAAGGCTGTTACACTCTGGTTTGACCTTTGCCGATGCATCATAGACGATCCGTACTTTTGTGGTAGGCTTTGTTGGATCAATGACAGCATGATGGGGTATGTAGTGTTTGATACTATTCTTCACTTCACTGCTCTTTGTCACCTTTTCAATTATGCCTTGCTTGCACTGGTCCTGAATTATTCCATCATATTGGTGAAGCAGCTCAGGGTTCTTTTTTAATTTTTGAAGTAGAGATTTCAACCTTCCAAAAGCAAGTTCTCTGTTCTCTGGGAGTTCAGGTTGCTCATCCTTCCAGGGCCAAGTGACTTGATATCTACCATTGACTAGTTTTATTGTGTCGTTAAAGTTTTTTAAAGCCTTGTCATCATCTGATGAATGGGGCTGATCCTTGATTCCAATAGTTTCCAAGTTCCAGTACTCGTCTAGTGATGGCTTCAAGGGCAAACATTCATCGACAGACGAATGAAGACAATATTCCGTTGTTAGATTGTTTCCATTTACAATCAGCATTTGGTGTAAATTATCTCTGGATACCTCAAAGTTAGCTTGTGTTCTTCCAGTGAGAATCCATCCTACCTTTGATGAGAGCAAGTAAAGTCCATGGTCAACTTCAATTTTTTCTGATGATACCAAATCAAGATAATAGTCATTCCCAATAAGGATGTCTATGGTTGAATTCTCTGTAGTTTTTGGTAAGGTATCTGCAAACTGTAGATGTTTCCATTGGCACTGTACCTTTTCAATGATGTTAGGTGATAACGGTCTTCTGTGTATTGGTCCGGTTATTTGAGGCACAACATTTGCTTCAATTCTCATATAGTGTCCATCCTTCAGTTTAATTCTTAAAGATACATTTGGAGTTTTTACTATTTTTGGTTTCGTGGATCCAAAGGTGACAAGTGATATTTCCTCTGTTCTTTTTCTTTTCAAATTCAATTTTGAAGCTAATTCCTCGGTAACATACGTTCTTTGAGATCCAGAGTCCATGAGAATTCTGATTGTTTCAAATCTCGATCCAATCAGATCTGATGCATCAATTTTTGCAGTTTGCATTAGGACCATACTTCCTGATGACAGTAGGCTGTTTTCTCGAACATTGTTAACTGTTTCTGAGTCACATAGTTCGGATGTTTCAACAAAGTGTGAGGTTTCTCTCAAAGGCAGCATTTTCTTGTTGCAGAGACTTCGGTGATGTTTCTTTGTCTGATGACAATGGAAACATGGTTTGTCGACTTTGCAGTCTTTGCTAAGATGACCTGGCCTAAGACAAATGTAACATCTTCCCTTAATCTTCTGTTTTCTATCTTCAACTGTCCTGAATTCTTGGCATTCGTCACTCCAGTGATTTTGTTCACAGAAGATACAAATGGGATACTTTCTTTGAATTTTGTTTCTTCTTGGAGATTCTTTAAATGATGTTGTTAAGGCTTCCGCAGATGTATGTTTTCTTTCATGTTCATATAGCATTCCAGGTGATGGGGGTTTTCTAGCAGGTTGTTCTTCATGACCGGCTAGGTTTTCCATATCTGTAGACTCTCTGGCTGCTATGTAGTTATCAAGAAACATTCTCAGCTTTTGCACAGTCCACTTCTCTTTCTTTCCTTTCTGTATTTCTAATTGTAATCTGGCTTCTTTTGGTAACTTCGTTATAATCATGGAAACAAAGACATCCTGGTTTACGTCCTGTTCCAATGCTTCTAGGCTGCGCATATGCTTTTCTAAATCATCAAATAGTCTACGGAGACTGGAAGTATTATTGAGTGCAGGCTTAATGTTTATAAGGTCCACGTAATGTTTGTTAATTACAGACTGCACATCTCCGAATCGTTCCTTCAATATGGAGAGAGCTACATCATAATTTTCACGGGAGAGCATGAGGCCGGAAATAGCAGATTGTGCCTTTCCTTCCATTTTACTTTTCAAGTAGTTGAACTTCTCAATATTGGAAAGCCTTGTGTTTTTGTGTACGGAAGCTTCAAAGGAGTCCCAGAACTCTTTCCACTTTAACTTGTCTCCGTTGAATGAAGGGAGCTCAAACTTTGGTAGTTTAACTACCGGAGTCTCTTTGCAAATCTTCTCCTTTCTGTGCAGTTCCTGAATCTGGAGTTCTTGGAAATGCATCAGTTGTTCCTGCATTTTTGTCTGCAAATCTATCATGTGGTCGATTCGTGGGTTATTTGGTGCTTCACTTTTCATATATGGAATGTCCACTTGTTCCAGTCTTTTTTCCAATAGTAGAAGTTCTTCTGAGCGCTCTGTAACATCTGTGAGCAATTCAAACAACTTCTCACTATCTTCTGTAAATTTTTCAATTTCAGACTCATTGTCTTGTTTTGATTCCAAGGCAATGGAAAGTTCTTTCATCGATTCTTCTAATTTAGCACCAAAGTCCTTTAACCGTCTCAAGGAAGATTGAATCTGCCTTATCCTGGTTGTCAAATCCTCTTCTTCAGCTTCTGAAGAAAGAAATGTCTTACTTTTGATCATTTCCTTCAGCAGTAGATTCTTGTACCTTGTACAAAGTCCTTTCAAGTATGAGGTTGACATCTTCTTCTTTTCCGTGATAACTTATTGATTTCAGGCTCCAATTCCCGGGTTCCGGCACCAAACAATGTGGCGAATCACAATCACACGGAAATCTTCTTTTTATAATTTATTATGACGATTAAAGGCAATAACAAATCCACAAGGGTTAACAATCAAAATACCACATTGGCTAAGATAATCAGATGGTTTCTGATATGTATTCAATATTTCTTCAATGTAAACTCAATACAAAATCGATAAACTCAATAGTTATCAAGATCACAAAAACTCTCATATATATAGTATCGAAGAAACATCTAGAAATAGAAACTTCGATAAAATTCTAGATCATCACATTCTTAAATATTCTAGAGACTTCTTGATAATTAATTCACGAAACATTTAGAACATTCTAGATTATACCTGTACATCATTCAATTTCTAGAAAATACATTAAAATTGCGACAATTCGCAACAGGTAGAACCTACCTTGCAGATCTCTATGCAGCAGACGTAACAGATAGTATTTTACTTGGATTGGATTTCTTAGTAAAATACAACTGCATTGTAGACTTAAAGGATAACATATTGCAAATAGGCAACAATACCATTACCGGGATAGTCAAGAGAACTGAAAGTGGCACAGATGTTGACATAAGGAAAGTTTTCATGCAAGGAAGGACAGTCATCCCTCCAAATACAGTTTCCTGTACAAATGTTGTTATTGATGGACCCAACATTAATGATGATAGGCCTTTAGTCCTTGAACCTTTGAAGACCAATAGAAAGTTTGTCATGGCAGCAACCATAGTTGATTCCGGGAAATCAGCTAGAGTCAACATTATGAACCCGACAAATGGTACAATTGTTATAAAGGCCGGGAAGCACATAGGCAATGCAATGGACTTCAGCGAGGAATTACGAGGTGTAGAACAATGTAACATAAAATGTGCTCAAACCAGTTAGCCAACCAGCCTCAGCAGAGGAACTGGATCTGCCTGAGCACTTGCGTGAATTGTTTGTTAGAACTTGCAAGAACCTGAATGCTGATGAGGCTAACAAAGTCAAGGCACTGCTGAATAAGTATAGTGAAGTATTTGCAAAACATGACTTGGATTTGGGATGTTTTTCAGAGATTAAACATCAGATTAATACTGGATCTTCTTCCCCAGTGCGACAAAAAATGCGTAGAACTCCCTTTGGATTTGAAGGAGAAGAAGAGACACACTTACAAAAGATGTTAGATGCCAAAGTTATACAGCCTTCGACTTCTGAATGGTCATCTGCTCCTGTGTTAGTTCGTAAGAAGGATGGATCGGTCAGATGGTGCATTGATTATCGCCAGTTAAACCAAAAGACAGTCAAAGACTCTTACCCCCTTCCTAACATAGAAGATTGTCTCTCAACATTGTCGGGCTCGATCTACTTTAGCACATTAGATATGGAGTCAGGGTACTATCAAGTAGAAATTGATCCAGCAGATCGGAAAAAGACAGCATTCATCACTAGATTTGGGCTGTTTGAGCATGTGCGAATGGGGTTCGGACTGTGCAATGCTCCCGCCACCTTCCAGCGAGTTATACAGCTTGTGTTGCGTGGCCTTACATGGAAGGATGTCATTGCGTACTTAGATGATGTTAATGTTCTCGGCAAGTCCTTTGAAGAACATTTGAACAATCTCGATGTAGTCCTAGAGAGGTTTAGCAGATACAACTTGAAGCTCAAGCCAAGAAAGTGCTTCTTATTCCAGACTGAATGTGAGTTTTTAGGGAAGCGAATTACTCGAGAAGGTGAAAGGATTTCCCCAGCCAAATTGGATGCTGTACGGTCCTGGCCTGTCCCTACAGATAAGAAAGAAGTTGAATCTTTCCTTGGCTATGCTAATTATCATCGAGAACATGTACAAGGATATGCTGGGATTTCAAAGTGTCTGTATGAGCTAACAGGTTCAAAGGCAAAGCAATTTCACTGGACTACTGAGCACCAAGAGGCATTTGAACACTTGAAGACAGCACTATCCTCAGCACCCTGTCTCGCTTACCCAACTCCTACTGATGACTTTATTTT